CGATCGGGCTTTGTCCAGAATTAAATGAGACCTCAGTAGTTGACCACGACGTGCTGTACTTGCATTGGGGAAGCTCCAATTTGGCACAGGGGTGACGCAATTGCCACGACTGGTTGCTTTTCTTGCCGGAAAGGGAACGAAGAGCACAAAGAGAAGGAACCACCTGTGATTCTTCTGGCTTCCTGATTTTCCGCCTTGAGGATCAGAGGCAACTGCTTTTTAGAGGTGGAAGGGGAAGGGGAGTTGGTTGGCGTAAGGGGGTACATGAGTGTGTCTCGAAATGCGCAACCTCCGTTTAGAAGATTGGAAAGGGAAACCAAAGTGACACCGTTGGAGAGCAACACCCCTGTATTTTACCCTAAATGCGGATGGAGCGCAATTCAGCACCAGTTGGATGAAGTCTATGATCAATGCGATTTACCACATTGGCCATCCAAAATCGCTTTGCGGCTTTGCTTGCCCGACAATTGGGGTCTGCCTTGGCTTTCATTCGTTGGACGCGCCACTTTTCCAGGTTTGCCCGCTGTGCCTTCGTGATGTGGAGGAGGCGGCAAGTCGGGCTATCCAACATGGCTCTCTGGTCATGGGGGGGTCCTCACATTTGGGTGTGCCCTTTTTTGTCGGTACCATTTTGTTGGTGCTTTGAAGGAAAGCCAAAAGGTCCGATTCCTAGCAAAAGGCACCCATTTTTCGGCAACGGTTTCAGCCAGCACCAAAGTGCCTCCCACTTTTGGCAGAGTTTCCGAGTAGGTGATGGGGCGGGGGATATAGGGAGCCCTGGGGGCGGTGTCTCTTGATTTTCCCAAAGGGGCCAACTGCCCTCCCCCCTTGTACTCGATTGGCCACTTTTGGACCTACGGGCATCCTGCGAACCAAAATCCGGGGAACGGCGCAGCAAGCCCACTCAGGGTTTGGTAAGTGTAGTCTTCATTTGAGGCGGCGATTGGAGTTTGTCCATGCGAAGTCTTAGTCATTTGCAGACTTGGTAAGTTGGCGCCAAGAACACATTGACCTGTCATGAGACTCCTTCCGTGAAACCCATCTCAGTGCTGGACTCCACTGCGTGGGGGATTCATTCCAAGATGGGTTTCTTCTGATTTCCCGTCGAACCCCTGTCAAATCCCCTTAGCTGCGAGACAACAACATTGCCAGCCTCACTTTTTCGCCAAGAATCCAATGAGCCAGCCGTGTCAGGCAGCGGACTTGAAAGTGGACAAGAAGCAGATCTGAGTTGGGTTTGGGGACTTATTTACCGGCCTACAAAGTCGGCCTAGCATCCAAGGATGCGTGACCCGCTGGACAGATGCTTTTAGCTCACCGCCCGGTGCCGGTGGCAAGCATCTACCATATTTCTGTGTTAGTTGCCCCTACCCCCAAGCCGTTATTCTGCGGCACACATCGAATGCACAAGCACTGCATAGCCTTGCCACAAAATGAATGGTATGTACCCCGGCGGGGGGGGGTATCCATCCACCGATGACACGGTGCGTCCTGAGCTGTTGGACAAGATCTTAGCGGCTCGTCTCCGTGGCAGAGAAGAACAGCTCCTTACAAGATACTTTTTGCAACCATTTGAAACATGGCTTTTTCCACCAAAATAAAGGGACACCACCATTTACAAGGCAATGTTCATGTGTATAATGTAAGGATCTCTGTGTAACAGTTCCCCAGGGCCTTCTGAGAATCATCTCGCAGGTTGACCCCGGATCAACCCCGTTATAGAAGGGTGTTGCCCCCATGGATTTTTACGGGACACTGAATCAACCAAATGCCAGGTTCTTGAGCTCTGGGTCGAAGAAAGGCAGAGAGGGTTGTCTCCGGCAACAGCCGCATTTCTTTTGGTGTCTTCAAATATGCCACAGGGCAAGAAGACACACCCACCAGGGCTTTGCTCAATTTCAGAAGAGCGACTGGACGGATAGCAAATCCTCGGTTTTCTAGTGCCAAGAGCTTGTTTGGATATACAAGAATCCAGACGAATTTAAACCCTTTACCTGGAAATGGCCTTGATGCTGGGAAGTCCAAACCATTGTCGTGATCCCGTAGATTGGATGTGAATGTAGCTGTGCTTTGCTTTTCTTGTTTGGCTGGTAGCTGTTTCTGCGGGGGTCTCCTCAACGGTTTGTTCAATTTGTTGGGCAGACAAATTCAGGCAGTATTATGTTTGGACACCCAAAAAATTGGCCAGGTGTAGAAATTTCTGCACAATATGGCGAACCCCCTTTCAGTTGGAGGACAATCAAAACACAACCGAGCATGGGGGAAACCACCGAGTTTGAGAAACGTCCATGCAACGGTTTTTGTTGGTACAGCCACGTGGCTATACATTTTCATGAGGAAAGCCTTGCCAAATGGGTGGTAGACACAAAGCCCCGCCACCAAAGCAGCCCCGGTGGAAATTCCTACTCATGTTCATGAGGTCCATAGAATCCATGTCGCAAAAGCTACCCTGAAACGAGCTCGCAGGATGCGTGGAACGCAGCCCCGAGTGTCACCGTCGCAACTCAGACCCTGTTTTTTGGCCGTCCACAGGAAAGCCTTGAGCTGCCATTTCTCGCCTGCACAGGAAGTTTGACTGGGGTCATTCTGTTGACTGTTTCTGGGGGTTATCAAAGTCAAAATCTCGGGGGTTGTTTCCCTTTAACCTACGAAGGGTGTCACTTTGACAATGACCAGGGCCTGTTTGATTGGGCAATCGACCCACGCCGGTACGCGACCCCCGTGCCGCTTCCCTTTCTTGGTCTAGCGGCGAGGGGATCCTTCACTTTCGGCGCAACTTCTCCCTATATTATGGGTATGGAGTCAAAATACAACCACCAGAAAACCGCAGGTTTTAGTCTTTGGTTCCATTTACCAAGGTTCCATTTTTGGTACGCATTTTTGACCCATAGCCGCATATAGGTTGGCTCCGGAGTGCCGTAGGCCCAGGAGAACATGACTGGTTACTCTTTGGTATGACTTTGACCTGTCAGCCTTTTGGAAAATGAGTATTTCTCAACTAACCAGCAAGTGTTGATCTTTTTGCAGGGGGGCAAAGACCAAACAAGGACTGAGGTGTTTACTTTCAGACGACATTGTCATGTCTCGTGCCAGCTTCCCTCGGAAAGGGTAGATGCCAACCCCCTGATGTCAACCTGTGTTGTCTAGCGCCTTAGCTGATACCTGCTTGGGCCATTCAAAAACACAGCCTTTGGCACCAGGCAAAGAGGAAGCCGCATTTTTGGGGCAACGTTTGTGTGCACAATACAAAAGCCCTGTTTGGATGGAGTGCCACACTGTACAGTGTTTGACGGCCATATGCAGCACGTGCTCGTGCAGTGTCAGAATAGGTTGTGGACGGCACGAGAGGCATGTCTACATTGCAAAGATGCAATCAATCGCATGGGTCGTGCAGGTGAGATTGGCTTTTCCTCTGGCGGTTATGTTTCACAGCGGAGGAGAAAAGGTCGGCCCCACAGGGGAAGGGATCGCCGTTTCCATGCACATGGTATGGTCTCGGGATCCGTTCGCAGGAATGGATTTGCTCGGGCCAAAATCAACTACTGCAAAGTAGACAACCCTGCGCCAGTTCAAAGATAGTCAACCTTTTGGTCTCTTTGAGCTCCTGATGAGGGCGACCATCATCCGTCAAGTAAGTCGAAGATTGGCGGTTTGAGTTGGCGATTCGGATGCGTCGGATGCCTTCGTAGACGGATGGGAAACCCCCGAACCCCAAACTGCCGGTCCAATCTGAGAGGGGGAAGGTGAACTAGGTCCCCCAGCAGTGCCCTTTGCCCTTTGTGGGGGGAGGGTTCCCCTAATTACTAAAGTACCCTACAGAAAAAAGTTGGTACCCTTATTCTAGCTCACGGCGTCCTTCACGACCCCGTGGAGTTCTTTGTTTTTTGGATGTTCATCCCTGCGTTCATGTATCATGGTTCGGGGGGGGATGGGTGGGCGGGGGGGGGGAGGGGGGGTGGGTGGGGGGAGGGGGGGGGGGGGTGGGTGGGGGGGTATGAAAAGCACACGCGCTCAACTGCTGCAGACCAGCCTGCTCCTTTACCGGATTACAAAATAACATGGTTCTGGGGGGGGTTGGGGGGGCATGATAAGCACACCCGCTGAACTGCTGCAGATGCGTCTTTCACCCCTGAGGCATTCACTGGCCCAACCTTTGGCTCCAGGACCATGGGTCATCATTTTGTTCTCGCTCTTTGTGTTGCGTACGTTCTGCTGCTGCGTGTCGCGTGTGCACCCTGCCCCATTGTTGACTCGTGGTTCCAGGCATTTTGGACGTGTGATCCGTTCTTGTTGGACGCTCACTTTGAAGTTTGCGCTGGTAGTTCGTCTGATCCTTTCGCGCATTTTGCGGCAGCTGTTGGTGCGATATCTGCTCGAAGCCCTTTGTCCTGGTGTCGGTTACCTGCTGCACTGCCGCGTCTTCGCGCTGCCTGGCTGACGCTCTCGCGCGCCCGCTCCCCGCTTACCCCGGCTTTGCGTGCTGCCTGTTTTGTTCTATCCCGACGTTTGTTGGTCATCAACTTCACTTCTGCACCATCCTCAAGCCAGTGTGGCGAGCTTGCCATGTCTGCCGACGAAGACGATATCTCGCCTGGCCATCTTAGATCCTTTGTCTACCACTCAAGCAGCGGGGAGCCAATATCGCCGGCATCGTCTGCCGACTCTCCGTGGTCGCGTTCCTAGAAGGCGGCTCGCTCGCGAGCTTTGAGAAGTTGCCTTGAAAAAAAAAGAGGCCGGCAGCCGCAAGAAACGCGCGTGTGTTGGCCAGCAGCGCGAAGTGCTGCTATTCTCAGGCGATTTGGCCCTTTCTTGTCAAAGCCATGGTAAAAATGGAACAACATAAACATGGTGCGTGTCAACGATGCAACGAAATGTTCATAAAACGCAGGAATTTTGGTAAACGTGCTTGGTCGCCATGGTCAAAAGCAGCGTGGTCATTAGCAACGCCGTGACCTTATTCTAACCTCTCTACTGGAGGACCTTGTGAATCCACGTCTCAGGAGCCTGCCGCAAGCCAATGGCAAGGCGACCCGCGAAGCGAAGCGGGTGACCGGGGTCGGTTGTAGACGTCTTTGGCGGTCGAGTGGGCCCCACTTGGATGGTCTGGGACGGATCGCTAAATGGTCATTAGTAACCCTAGTTACAGGGGACTTGCAACCATTGTAAGTGGGTTACAACCAGGGTTGCTAGTCCTTTAGCTAACTCCCAGACCATCCAAGCACCATACCCCCCTTTGAGGGTCATGCGACAAACCATTTGATGGCCATCCCTGAAAGGAGCTTGGCTTCCACTTGGTGTCCAGATAAACCCAAGCAAAAGGGTGTTGGTCTTTGAGAAGCAAGGACGCAGATGCGTCAATTCCTGAGGTTACACGGTCAATCTTGAGCCCAAGTCACTTGGGGTCTTTGTGGGGGGAAAGGTCATCCACGGCGAATGGAAAATGAGGACACGCCCCGCTTACTTAGAATAACTCCAAAACGGGAACCGGGCCAGAAAACACAGATCTAGACCACCATTGCAACTGAAGAAAGCTGGCCCACAGCGATGGCACAAATGGGTTTGTCAAAATTTTGAGGACATTACAGTGTTCATTCTCATCCAGCCGCAAAGCCCTGGATTGCTCAAGAATCCCAGGGTCTCCCTTGCTCTCCGACTCCACTTGCAATCTTCAGGGCATGCTGTAACTGCGGGAAGCTGTGAATGATCCTCCGACATGTTTTGTGTGGAGGCTGCCGGGCCGCGTCAATGAAAAAGTTAGCTCAGGGGAGCGATGCCTATTCCATCCGGTTGTCTTTCAGAGCTGTTTGTTTCGGTTGGATCCGCAAACATGGTTTGTGCACAGACCCTTTGGAAGTTGCATTGAACACCAGCCCATGCTGCAGCCAGCTTCATACTCCCTAGAAAAGCTCAAGCCCCAATCGGCGAATTTGTTGGAGTATGTTCCAACCGTTTTACACGCAAATGCACATCCGGGTGTCCCTCTTTTTTTGTGAGGATAAACCCTTTTGCTTTTGCAGTGGTTTGAAAGGGAAACCCGAAGATGGTTGGGTCCCGTATTTTCAGACACACCCACAAAATTTTTTCCCCCAAATAAGGGGGGTCACTCCAAGTTTGAAAGGTCTCTGGCCGTGCCAACTGGCACAAAGTTGACTGAAACACATGATGCTGCAAATGGGCAAAAGCCTGCACCAGTTGGTAGGTGGAGTATTCTGTTGTTGATAGGGTTGAATCCATCCAGACTAGTGCATGATTTGGCCCATCTAGAGTCTAGAGTATGGCAAGTTTCACAAAAGGGAGGCAAGAAGGAATGTCCTAATATTCTGCCGACCGTCAAAACAAGTCGGACTCCTTGTTGGGCGAGCTGCGTTTCCAGGCCCTTGGGACCTCAAACAGGAGCATTGCTTTCTGAGGTTTCCTTACCCTTCCAATTGCGAGATCCAGACCCCTCTAATGGAAGGTCCCGTGAAGCCTAGCGGGACGGTCATCCCATTCAGTCGGAGCTGTGCTTCCGACCGGAACATCTTGGATTTCACTCCCTCCAACTAAGTTGGGTTTGCCATACTAGCTTGGATTGGGGAATTCAATAGGGGTATTGCTCTTTGTGGTCTAACGATTCTTGACCAAAGAAGGCCTTGCTGCAGTCCTCCCAAGCCTCTGAGTACGGCCGTATTTGCCCAGGCAGAGCGCTTCGGGGCGTGGGATGGGCATCCCGGCTGCAGGATACTTCCCCAGAATTAGCTACCCTTTTTGCCTTTTTGCTTTTTTGGGGTCCCTTTGTTTTCCACTACGGCAAAAAAGATCTTTGTTTGCTGGGGTTCTAATTCCAGCCTAGGATATTGATGCGACTGTCTGAAGATGGATGCGACTGTCTTGTCTTCAGGCTATTTGGCGTTGGTTCAGAGGGAAACCACAAGAGGGCCAATATTTTATTTGGGGGATCCCCTGTTTTGACACAAACCCATATCTCCCTTGTTGAGGATCAACCGCTGAAGTTGCATGGCTATGAAGCGTTTTCCAACCTACTTGGTGAACGTTTGGGTGGAAAGATCATGCCCCTGTACCACTCGCAATGGTTCGTTTTGCAGGGCTACACGCAGACACCACACTCCAACATTGCCAGCAAGCTTAGCGCACCCGAAACTCGCGTTTCGAAACTCGCAACTTACGTTTTAAGAATTTACGTTTTTTAAACTTACGTTTTGGTAGAACATGAGCTACTACTGAAGGGTTTTGTGTTTGGAATATATGTTACTGGGTTCGGGGGTGTAAAACTGGTTTCCCCCCTTCATCTCTTGCAGGGTTCCACCAAAGGCCCCAACCCAAATCCAGTTTCGGGGGTTTAAAACTGGTTTTGGGGCACTTGTTAAGCTTGTGTGCATATCTCATTGGGTTCCCCCAAATCCTTAAAGCAGGTTTTGGGGCACTTGTTCAGGGTCACCCCTTTGCTTGGGTGCATATCTCACTGGGTTTCACCGTTCTACCAAAACCAACCCCCAAATCCAGTTTCGGGGGTTGAAAACTGATTTTGGGGCACTTGTTAAGGGTCATGCCTTTGCTTGGTTCCACCAAAACCGCCCCCTGATTGCATTTGTCTGGTTTCCACCAAAACCCGCAAATCCAGTTTTACAAGGCCCCCTTGGGCCTGGGTCACTGGGTTCTATCAAAAACCCACAAGCCACCGAAGATCATCATAGCCAAGCAAGGGTACGATTCTACAACGTTTAGTCCACGATTCAGTCACGTGCCGAAAGCATAAAATTCAGGACTGGATTCGTTCTTTGCTGCAATCCTTATCTTTCTCATTTCCACAAAAAACAGTTTTGAGGGTTTAAAACTGGTTTTGGGGCACTTGTTAAGCTTGTGTGCATATCTCATTGGGTTCCCCCAAATCCTTAAAACAGGTTTTGGGGCACTTGTTCAGGGTCACCCCTTTGCTTGGGTGCATATCTCACTGGGTTTCACCGTTCTACCAAAACCAACCCCCAAATCCAGTTTCGGGGGTTGAAAACTGATTTTGGGGCACTTGTTGGGTCATGCCTTTGCTTGGTTCCACCAAAACCGCCCCCTGATTGCATTTGCCTGGTTTCCACCAAAACCCGCAAATCCAGTTTTACAAGGCCCCCTTGGGCCTGGGTCACTGGGTTCTATCAAAAACCCACAAGCCACCGAAGATCATCATAGCCAAGCAAGGGTACGATTCGACAACGTTTAGTCCACGATTCAGTCACGTGCCGAAAGCATAAAATTCAGGACTGGATTCGTTCTTTGCTGCAATCCTTATCTTTCTGATTTCCACAAAAAACAGTTTTGAGGGTTTAAAACTGGTTTTGGGGCACTTGTTAAGCCCCAAATCCTTAAAACAGGTTTTGGGGCACTTGTTCAGGGTCACCCCTTTGCTTGGGTGCATATCTCACTGGGTTTCACCGTTCTACCAAAACCAACCCCCAAATCCAGTTTCGGGGGTTGAAAACTGATTTTGGGGCACTTGTTGGGTCATGCCTTTGCTTGGTTCCACCAAAACCGCCCCCTGATTGCACTTGTCTGGTTTCCACCAAAACCCGCAAATCCAGTTTTACAAGGCCCCCTTGGGCCTGGGTCACTGGGTTCTATCAAAAACCCACAAGCCACCGAAGATCATCATAGCCAAGCAAGGGTACGATTCTACAACGTTTAGTCCACGATTCAGTCACGTGCCGAAAGCATATTCAGGACTGGATTCGTTCTTTGCTGCAATCCTTATCTTTCTGATTTCCACAAAAACAGTTTTGAGGGTTTAAAACTGGTTTTGGGGCACTTGTCAAGGGTCACCCCTTGGCTTGGGTGCATATCTCACTGAGTTCCACCGTTCCACCAAAACCACCCCCCAAATCCAGTTTCGGGTGCTTAAAACTGGTTTTGGGGCACTGTTAAGGGTCACCCCTTTGCTTGGTGCATATCTCACAGAGTTCCACCGTTCTACCAAAAACGCCCCCCAAATCCAGTTTCGGGGGTCGAAAACTGGATTTGGGGCACTTTTAAAAGGTCCCCTTGCTTAGGGGCATTTTTCAGGGTCGGTTTGTCTAAGAGTGTGTTTTGCTGAAGGATCGGACAGCGAATCTTGGGCAGCAGGCTTGATAACCTTCGGCTCACGATCTTCGGGTGCAAGGGCCAAGGCATGCTTCTGCTGTTCTCGCAAGCGCAACGCATTCAGATGTGATACCAAGATCTTGTACATGACCCCAAACCAAGACCTCTGCAACCTTCTCTCAGCTCTTCAGGGTGGTTCAAAACTGGCTTTGGGGGCAGTTGTGAGGGTCCCCTTGCTTGGGTGCATATCTTATTGGGCTCCACCTACAGGGACCCCAAAGCCACGTTTGGAAAAATGAAAAGATTGTGGGTTTCGCGTTTCGAAATTCTTGGCTGTGCTTGCTGGCCCTATTAAAATGATTACGTTTCGGGCATACGTTCCGAAGCACATGTCGAAACGATACGTTTCACGTTTTGCGTTTTGGTTTGCTAAGCCAGCAAGAACGGAACACGACCGCAAATGCATCAATATTGCCCCTTCCCTCAAGTGATCGCCCGCAAAATAGGGATGTGACAGATTGCCTGGGATTGAGAGGCCCAAAAGTGTCCTTTCAGACAGTTAAGTGCTTGAAGTCGCAAGACAGGTTTGCGTCGGATCGCCTTGTTTGAACTACATCCTGAATCCTCATGCCAGATGGTAGTGGTTTTCCTTGTAGTGGTGTTCCACCATGGATAAGCATCAGAGTACCAGGCGTACCTCCATTTTGGAGCAACCCAGAGTACTAAACATGTACTACATAGCCATCAACAGCTCAACACATTCCTGGCTAACTTGGTTGCGCCATATACACAAATTTACCATTTTGGAGCAAGACATATAAGAATTTGCCTTTCGGATGTCTTGTGTTCCTGTAGATATACATGTGCATATATATATATATATTCTGGTTCCAGCATAAACGGGTATATTTAGGCCACCAACATGCGGGGCTTCAACAAATTGTTGACTTCCTGCGCCTATCTGGCAATGCACCCTGCATTCCGGGATCATGGCCATTTCAGCGGGGCCTGTCGCGCAATGCATTTGGGCCAGTCAGAAAGTCGCCCAAATACCAGCCTAGGTCCCCCCAATAGTGCCCTTTTACCCCCTTTTTTGGGGGAGGTTCCCCTACTAAAGTAGACTACAGAAAGAAAGTTGGTACCCTTATTCTAGCCTCTCTACTGGAGGAGCTAGGGGTCTAAGGGTTGCTTCCATTTCCATTCTTTCTAGATCAACGGTGAGCATAGATGTCTTTTGGGAAAACGAATGGACCTAGCAGCTGATTTAGATGTTGCTGTTGGGTGTGTCCGAATCGGAACAGAGACCAGCCGTTTGCTGGGCGGAGCCAAGGCAGTTTGAAGTCTCGCTGGTGAAGGACGGCAAGGGTCCTTCACTGCGTGCTTCGTGCTTCTGATTTGTTGTAAACAAACAAACACTCAAACAAACAAACAAACAAGCAAACAAACAAGCAAGCACATACATAATATATATATATATGCGTATATATGTATATAATTAGAATGATTTATGTGTAGTGCACATAATATGCCTCTTCTGATTGCCAGACCGAAAGCCTTTGTTGAGCCTTTTTACGTTCCTCTCAGTCCTCTCCATTCCTCTCAGTCCCCCCTGTCTGGCCAATAGGACGGCAATAGAACAGTTTTCTGTTGTCTTTTCAGTGTGCTTTTCATGCTTTTGAATGTGAGGAAACGGATTGGGGACGGCTTTTTTGCCAAACCTTGTGGGCCCCTTTATAGTAGTATTGACTGGCAATAAGAAGGGAGAGGAGGACAGTCTTTAGCAGGGAGGTTATGAATCGACGTCACAGATCAACTGATGCGTTTTTTTCTTTTCTTTTCTTTTTCTGCTAGTACTCAGGTGTTTGCCTAGTAGTAGCCTGATCCACAACTCATGCCAGGTGTCACAGGTTCCTGAGAAAAATTGTGCAACCAAAGACTAGAGCAAGATGTAAACACTTCCTGCGCCCGCATCTTATCAGGTTAAGAGACACATCCATTGCAAACTTGCCTGGCAAACATGGCAAGCACTCACCCTACTGACCTAGTACAAATGCCAAAGGTGAATCAAGTTGCCCAGGTGCCACGGGTAGAGCGCAATTTCCACTGGCATGATGACGAGAATCAAGGTCGAGACACATCAACTGATGTTGGCAACATTGTCAACGTCTCCCTTTTGTACAAGCGCATGGCCCATAGCACACATTTCTGCAGACTGTTCCTGATTTGGAAGGGTCGACACATGTCCTTATCAATGATATGTATGTATATATATATACACTTACACATACATCATTGCTGATTGCTAAGTTGGAAGGGCCAACTCTAAGCCTCAACCAAAGAACTAGTTGCGTCCCAGCGCCCCAAGCGACGAAGAAACGCAGAGTTGTACCCTGCGAGTTGATTCGGGCCCGATGCTTGAGCCATGGAGAAGAAATCCATCGCTTTAAAGCTGAAGAGGTTCACGGTTACAATGTTACACTCCAGGGTTGTGGGATCACTCGGGGTTTCTCCCCACTTCTGTGATACGAGGGAATCCCCCTTTTTGTTAACAAGGTAGTCTTTGGGAAGCCCTTTTTGTGGTATCACAGAAGTGGTCATTCCCACAGCCCCGTTACACTCCCTCAGACTAACAGCCGGAAGCTCCCAGAAGGCCGATCCTGTAAATGGAGCTAAGTCTTCCATTTCGGGGTCCGTTCGGGAGCTTCCATGGAATCGTTGGGTGGGGGTACTGGTCAAGTCTGCTTCATCAAAGTGATGCTGGAACATGCACCTGTGGTTAATTTGTTTAAGTCCATACTTTGTGTTGTACTTGCACGTGCCAGCGCATCCCAGATTGAAGACTGGAAATTGAAGATTCCCAGAAAATATTTCATGGAATCATCAAATCCATGCTTAGGTCTACCCCCTTTTCTTGCAGAGGGTTCAACCAGAATCAATCAACCCCTGCTTGGTTTTGATCGGGGGCCCCATTCAAGAGAAATTCTGTATTGCTTAGAGCAGCACCCCGCCTACTTGTTCGCCAGGTTGCGACATCAGTTGATTGAATGATATCTTAGACGACTGGGGTGTCTTAGCGAGCCTTGAGTCACCGACCATGTCTGCAGCCCTAAGCACGACATGGGCGGGCTTGCCTCAGAGTAGGGGAACTCCAACTTACGGTTTTGATATTTTGTCAGAACTGCCACCAAAGAGGTACCCTAAAAAGAATATGCACACCTAGGTCCCCCAGTAGGGCCCTTTTACCCTTTTGGGGGAAGGTTCTCGTACTAAAATAGAATACAGAGAAAAAAACAAACGAGTACCCTTATTCGACTAACCTCTCCACTGGAGGACCTAGGATACACACACTGTTTGAGGAGTCAAGCGGTCCCCCCCGGAAGCATTGAGTTCCACATTCTGCCTCCTGGGGCCTTGAACGACTGATTCAAAGCAGGTGCGGGCCGAAAAACCACTTCTGAGGCAAACGACCGGAACCGGTTCGAAATCCCTAGCCTACGCGGCCTTGACTTTGCCAGGCCTGTCTACTTTCCATTTTCCAGTTGGCTGAACCAGAAATGGCCGTGAGCATTCATGTGCACAATCTAGAATCGAGAAGCCACTGCTAAGTACAGTTATGACACTTCAGATCAGAGCATAATGAGTGCAACATGTAGCTGCATGCATGTGTTCTTCACAGCCTTTGCCCAGTGCGCCTGGCTTGCTTTACAGACCTGTCCCTTTCCCCATGGAACCAAGCAGCAAAACAAGAAACGACGCAGACGCAAATTTCTGTCCACTCATGGTGTTAGCCTTGGTTTAGAACCTTCCTCATTATAAGAAAGGGCACCCTAAAAAGGCTTGCTTTTGGGCGGCCGGACTCCTCGTTTTTTTTTTGGGTGCGGAGGGAACATTGGATTTTCGGAGGGCCGTTTTCGGCCCGTTGTCTTCCGTTTTCGGCTCGTTTTCGGCCCGAAAACCCGTTTTCGGGCCGAAACTGGCGATGGACAAAACCAGGAAACATCCAGAACCAGGCGTGCAACAACCAGAACCGTGCGTGCAACAACCAGAACCGTCCGTGCAAACAACTGTTTCTGAATTGATGGGTTTTCGGTTCCTTTTGGATGGGGCCATTGGGGCGACCACTCCTTTTTACCAGCAGAAGCCTCCTTTGTAAAGATTGGAAAGGGTTGTTTGGGAAACCACCTGAAAGACACCCATTGGGCGCGTGAGGGAAGAGTGATTTCACCCACTGGCAAAGCCGCTCAACTATAGTGTTCTCGCAAGGGCTTTGGGGTGATAAACAATGTTCGTCGACCCCACATGCTGCTGATGCTGGCGGTACACCTATGTGGCTCTGCCCGCGGAACCGAAGGGTCTTGAAAGTGTGCAGTTCGCGCAGCCCCCTTCTCCATGCCTTTCCCTTTTGCATGAAAGCCTAGAAGAGAAAACAAAGGGATCAGTGCATTTCAGACTGCTGCGGCACGCTTGAGACCCTGCGGGTTGGCCGGGCAGGGTTGGTGCCAGTCTTGCAGAGACGCAAGTCAATCGAGGCTGAAAAGGATATGCCCAACACGAAATACAGAAAATGGTGATCAGGCCAAACGGCCGGAACTGCAGCAAACGACCGGAACTGATGATGGATGTTCTTACGACTGTTTAAAAACGGATGTTTCGGGCTCCAGGCTGCCATATACCGCGCTCGCTCGCTGATCCGGGGGTCGAGCTCGCAAGGATGTAGGTTCTTTTTCTCGAGGCTCCGTGTTTTGGAATGATTCCAATATGTGCGGCTCCTTTGATGGTTCAACATTTAATATTTGCAAGCATCCCTAATCCGTGTTCGGATCTCCGATTCGGATGCTCGCTGGGGGCAGGTCTCTTGCACTGTCAAAACAAGTTCTTGGGCCATTTCCAGGTTTGGGGCTACACACTTTGATTCAAAATGTACAAGCCCTACGGGGCAGCTGTGGTTTGGGAGGTGTTGGCAGAGTGACCCCAAAAGGATACAGGTCCCTTTCCGACATCTTCCCAGGCGAGCTGGAGAGAGATGTTCAAGATCGTCAGTCTTCCAAAGTCCTGCCACTATCATTGTTGGTAAGAGGGTGTCAAAGTCAGAAACTGGCATTGTTTCCTCAAGCCTGCCTGTAACTTTGATAACGAGTTCCCCTTCTAAAACACCTCCAAGAAGAAAAATAACAACCCCGAAAAGCAAAACAAGGAAACGAGTAACAAGGAACAGCAAGCAAAGATGCAGCCAATGAAACATGGTTTGGGTATGCCCCCACACATGGTGGTTGTTTTCTTTCTGGCTTCCCTTTAAATCCCCCAAAAAAGGCAACTTTGGTCCCGGTTCTTTCCAGGAGGCGAAGGGCCCGGCTCCTGCCTGCACCTGCGGCAACGTGTCGGGCAGCTCATGGCGTTGACCGGTGGAATTCCCGGTGCCGGTTCCTTCAAGGCGATGTGAGGTTTTGGACCCCAGACCTCCAAGCCACTCATTTTGCTGTGGCTCAAAATTAAGGAGCTAGGAATACGCAGGTCTTGGACCATGTTTCCACTTGCCAGGGCAACCCATTTTGGTACCGGTTTTTTGCTGTGTAACTTGGGTCATTTTGACTGCTTCTGGGGGTCAAGGTCAGAAAAGGAGGCGGTGTCCCTGTAACCTACCTCTTGGTGACTTTGATGGTCAGATAATGGTGCCAGAGTCACCTAAATGGTTTCATGGGGCTTATAGTTGCCAACACACTCTTTCCGGACTGCAGTTTTTGTTTTCTCGATCATTCCACAGAAGTTGGACCAGCTCTGCGGGATAAAAGCGTCATTTTGGGACTGCTTTACTTTCTGTTTGGTGGGCAGGATCGAGACGTCAATCCATGGGCCCAGCAAGATAATGTTTGCAGGCCATCACGATTTACCGTTTGAGCATCATGATTCATGATTTTGACATTTGCAAATCTTGGCTTGGATGAGGCCGCTTTCGCGCGCGGCTGTGCTTTCATTGTCTTACGTTTGAGTAGTAAACTGTGCAGCTGCGAAGAGTTGAAGCAGGTTTTTTGTGTCAACCCAGTGGTCAACCCAGTGTCGTGGACGGCTTGCTTAGTTGTTCACTTGACTGTCCTTTTGTGCTCGATTTGGTTTTGAGTCGGGACAGGTTGCCAGTTTATTTGTCTGTGCTGGAACGCCACGGGGCGAAAATATTGGGCTCATGCTTCAGGCAGCGCGGATGACCTGCTTCAATCTAGGCATGGCTGACGTTGGCAAGGAAGTGCTCGTTGGAGAACAAGCTCGTCCACAAGAACAAGAAGCAGAAGACAGCGGAGTCTTTCTTGGCCAAACTCGGGCGTGCGCAGAGGCTTGGCGGCGACGAGGGTTTGTCTCTTCGGACCACGAGCCACAGTCTGGTAGTGGCGTGGCCGCCTTGCATGTGGGCAGCGGCGGTATCATTTGATGGCTTCCATGCCAAGAACGGCAATCACCCCCTTCCCTCCCCCGACACGCAGTGGATTGGGGACGCAGGTGCGTATAGTATGGTCTTTAGAAATTTGTGCTAGTAGAACCAAAAGTCAATGGCTCTTGGGCGCCGTTCATCAGTTTGGTCCAAGTTCGTGATTTGTTTGTGGTCCACGTAGGATTCGGAGATGGGGGGTGGGGTCGTCCCGTTCTTATTGGCAATGGACCGTGTGTAAATAGTTCTTTGAATAGGGAACTTAGACGTGGGGGTTTTCTTTTTCAATCCTGCAATCTAAAAAATCCTTTGGCTTCCCTTATTGTGACGATCGGGTCTTTGGAGCAACCCTTCTTTAGATTCACATATTTTTGTTTGTGGAGCATGTTTCACCTGCTGTCCCTTCAGATTCCTTTCCGCTTACAGCTCGCTTAGTCCCACGGAGATTTGGAAAAGCGTTGCGGTACTTATGTGGCTCAATGTGTGGAATAGAGGCGCCGGCCCGTCCGTGCGTGCTGTCCATCAAGGGGGAGAGCTCTGACTTTTGGAGAGAGTGTTCCAACACAAACTTTGCAAGACCCATAGTCTGTGACTTCATAAAGAGTCTCCTCGCATGATGGTTCTGCGGGTTCCATGAAGAGCTGCTGGGTGTGTCTGTGTGTGTGTGTCTCTAAACTAGGGGACTTCTTCAAAGGGGTTTATGCGGGCATCTCCTGTCTGGCATTGTCAAAGGCACGCCCAGGCGCGGCTTGATTTTACTTGGCGTTAAAGGGAGACCACCCATCTGACACCAAGATTCCGCCGGGTTTTGGTTGCAATTGCTTGAAATAGCAGAAGCTTCCTGTGGCGCACGCCAAGGTTCATGCCGGATGCTGAGTTCTGCCGCAAGTGTGGCCTGAAGCGTGCGCCTAGCTCAGATGGGTTGACCCTGCTGTTAATGATTGGTCAATTGAATTTTCCTCCTGTTTGTCAACTGAGGCCGCGGGGCTTCAATTGAAACTCAATAACTGGGGGGATCTGGTGTCATCATGAGAAACAGCAGCAAGAACTACAACAGAACAACAACTGCAACCACGACAGCAGCAACGTCATCATGATATCATCATCAACAGCAACAGCAACAGCAGCCACAGCCGCAACAGCAGTAGTAGTAGTAGTACTACGTACTACGTACTACGTACTACGTACTATGTACTACGTACTACGTACTACTACTACTACTACTCCTACTACTACTACTACTACTACTACTACTCCTACTACTACTACTACTACTACTACTACTACTACTACTACTACTACTACTACTACTACTACTACTACTACTACTACTACTACTACTACTACTACTACTACTACTACTACTACTTTTTCTACTATTACTACTGCTACAACCACTACTATGACTATGACTCCGATTACCACTACCACTACTGCTGCCACTACTACTAGTACGAGTGCTACTACTACTACTACTACTACCACCACCACCCCACCACCACCACTACTACTACTACTACTCGTACTCCTACTACTACGACGACGACGACGACGACGACAACGACGACTACTACTACTACTACTACTACTACTACTACTACTACTACTACTACTACTATGGCTACTGTGCTACAAGTTGGGCCTCGGAACATGGGAGAGTTATATCTTTCTTAGGCAACTTACAATTCCGCTATGTCGAGTTATAAGTAGGGTTAACCCTTCCAAGTAGGCGGCCAAGTCCCGTAAGTTCCCAATAAGTTTTGAAGAGTTGGCGGACTTGGGAGTCACTTGGCGGTGTTATAACTTTCCCGTATGTTCGTGTTAAAATGAACAGAAAACTTACGGAAAACTTACGGAAAACTTAGAGAACATACGGAAATCTTACGGAAAACTTACGGGGAGCGTACTTGAGGCGCCAAACGGACAGCTTGGGCGGGCAAGCGCTACCGAAATCGCTGCATCTCCCTTCCCTTGGCTCAAGGTGTTGACTCACTTCGCAAACAAACTTGCCGGAGA